AATGGTCGGCAAAATCATTAGTCAACAGAGCCAAATATCAACAGTACAATGATTGAATTTTGAGAGCCAAATTTTCTAAACTTAAACTTCTAACACCACTTCTTCAAAATAGATTTGCTCAGGTTGTGGGATTTTGTGGAAGAGTCACACTCAGGGGGCCAAAGAGCCTCATGTGGCTTGTGAGCTGCAGTTTGCCAACCACGGTAAAGGGGGTCAAACCAGTACTGCCCATTACTAGGGTCATAGATCTCCCAATTGCACCACAGTGTGTTAGGACATTTTTATCCTGAAGAAGTTATGTTTTATACTCAGTGACATAATAACATGTCACCTGTTTAGTTATACATGATGTATGAAAAATAACCTAACCTCCACTGACTGCATTATACACATTACTACATTTTAGACTTGTCAGCAAATTTAATTTATTTACCTTACATTTTAGTGAAGTTATTTCAAATTTCATAGGTGTGGAAATAATTGAAGCATAGACATTAGAAATCTTATTTTAATGTCAAATCTCATTTGAAAACTCATTTACAATGCATGGAAATGAAGACTTTGATGACCATAATTCTTACTGTTTCCATGCATATTAGGAAATAAGAAATATTAAAAAGTGAAAAACAAAAGGGTGTGCTCATCAAATTATAGCAAAAGGATAAAATATTCAGTTAAGCTCTTTTATCATCTCTATCTCCTGTTATACTAATGCACCTCAGGTAATCTTTAAATGAAAAAAAAACACTCTAATTAATGAGCTGTCTGCTTATAGCTGCTAGAAACATCAAACACATTATTTCAAAGTCTAGATTTAGAAGAAGAGAGATTATTTTGAACTTGACATGGGTACTGAGTTAGTAGTCAGCTTTGCTATTCAAATTCTTCCTTTGTCAATCTCCTTCAAAGTTTAATGTAAGTACATATTGGCAGGCTTCCCTCCTGCATATAGGTGCATTTTGATGTTAAGCAGGGAGGAAAGAGTCACTGTGCACACACAGCAACAAGTCTAATGTCAAGAAAAAAAGAAAAAGTATTTGGGACTTCCAGAAGGAGTCACGCTTCAGTTGAGGCCAATACAACTGAGAAGCAGAGCTGCCACCATACACATTGCAGCCTGGGCTCTGAGAGTAGATTTATGTAGCACTGCCTGGAATACATCCTAGTAGAGATGCAGGCTGTGCACAGCAGTGCTGGCCATTCTGCTGAGAAGATAACAATTACGTTATCAAAGATGTCAACAAATTTTTTTGTACTTAAGGGTATGTATGATGAAATTAGAATTAGCGAAGATGAAAGAGGTTTCCTTCTTATGCATTAGGTAGACTGAGCAGTAAAATAGCATATAATAAAGCCTGATCTTGCTTATGTACAAATATTTTTTCTAGTTTTAAGACTATGACTACATCTAATGCTCTCATATACAAAATAGGCCCTCTAACCAAGAGTTGTCAATTAATTGAACATTTCTGGTTGTAAAACTTCTCTTTTCAGTAGGTTCCTGTTTCTGGTTGTACAACATTTCAATGTCTGTTAAATTAAGAATCATAGTCAAATCTTTTTTGCTAATTTTCTAGATATCTGATTAAACCAAATAGCCATCACTAGGGGTTATAAATCTTGGTATCAGACAACATAAATGAAATCATTTTCAACTCATTGGAAGAATCTGTACAATTTTGCCAGTTAAGTCTTGATTAAAATTGAGGGATCTCACATAATCTAAATCTCTGTTTTTTAAAAAAATAATATCAGATCTTACAACACAAGATCTCTAATTCTGTGTGACAATATTTGGCTTGAGAGGGGGCCCAGCCACCACTCCATTTTCTTAAAAGACTATCTTTGCTTTCTGTGGACAATATACTTTCTCTTCTTCCTGAGTCACTGACAGTTTCTCTACCATAGGGCCATGCTCTACACTGACCCATGATGGTGTGGCATCCCCCTCCAACTTTAAATATAAGATTTCCTTAACACTAATTTCTAAGTCCTGAAGAGTTCCTTTGTTCTCATTCTAAAGGCACTCCCTAGGAAAGTTAATTCACTCATTTATTATGTATATTATATATATATAAACTTATGCATATATATCAGCAAGCCACAAAGCTGTATTCCCAAGCCAGTCTGCTAACTCCATCCCCCCTGCTCGCTCTCTCTCTCTCTCTCTCTCTCTCTCTCTCTCTCTCTCTCTCTCTTTCTCTCTCTCTCTCGGTACACTTATTTTCCTTGAGTGAATCACACTACTTCCAGTTACCTACGTTTTGCAAAGCAGATTCCACTAGCTAGAAGATTCTTCCCCTGCTCCTTTGCCTGCTTTTTTCGATCTTTCAAGTAGTTCTCTTAGCTTAGACTTTAATCTTCTAGAAAATCTGCTCTGAACTACAGGTAAAAATATGTTTATTACTTTCTTTCACAATAGCTTACATGTCCCCCTTTGTAGCACTCATCAGAACATAAAAAATTATTTGTATAATTATTTGCTTAATATTGCTCTGAATGTGGTCTATAAAGTACATTCATATGGTTCTATTTGTGCTCTTCACTGTGTCTTTGTATTTAGCACAGTGTTTGACATATAATGTGTTCATATTAAATGTTTATTGGCTTTGACATAGGTATTAGTGTAAAAGTTATATGAGTTCTTTTAGCATCCCCTGAGAAATAAAAAAAAACCCTCCCTTTCCTAATCAAATGTAAAGATAATATAGGCAAGTTTAAATAGATGATCTGGTAAAGCTATTATGGATTTTAGCTAGTAACACTATTTAAAAATTTTAAAAATATTTTTAATGATTTTACAGATAGGAAGACAGAGAGAGTTAAAAACATCAATGAGAAAGAAACATTGATCAGCTGTCTCCTCCATGTCACCTCCTGGGATAGAGCCCATAACCAAGGTAGATGCTCTTGACCAGAATCGAACCCAGGACCCTTCAGTTTGCAGGCGAAGTCTCTATCCACTGAGCCAAAGCAATTAGGGCTGTATTATACTACTTTATACATGCATATTAGTCTGAAAAAAATAAAATTGCATTATCCTAAAGACTATTGTAGCATGGAATTATCAAACATTCCAGTTCTCTCAGCAATAATTGTGAAGCACTAGCCATTAATAGTTTATATTAATTTAATAGTCATTTTAAATGTTATTGTTTAAAATAAAGAGATTAAGCATATTCTACATGTACTTAATATTCATCTTTGTATGAAACAGTTTTAGGGTGGTTCCCATAATATTGTATTGCTTTTTCAACATAAAGTAAATATGCTAAGAGTTTTGTGACATTATCTTAACAGTGCACATTTTTTCATCAAACATGCATGGTCAGGCTAATCAAATGCTCCAAAACATTTATTACAAGCAATAAAATAACAATAAATTTATGTTTACATATAGTTATTTGTTGATAATTGAGAACAGTGGATCCAAAGGTTTCTTAGAGAAATAAGGAATAGAGCAAAAACAGCTTGGCAGCTTGAGATTATCTGTTGAGCTAAAAGCTGTCATCTCTTTTCTGCTTTTGCCCAAAGACCTGGAACATTATTAGCATGTTCACATGGCCAAAGACAGATGGCTACTCACACATTCTCCCTGGGCTTAACACTTGTTCTCGTAATACCAACCACCAAGAAATTTGGCCCACCATCTGTGGATCTGTGGTCCCTTCCTCACTGTATGAATTTTATTACAAGAGACTAAGTGACTTGAGACTGCACATTCTGAGATGGTTCTTCTTTAGTAGATAAGCACTACAAATCATCATCTTTATTAGTCAGGATTGGCTAGGTTAGGCTTCAACAACAGACACCATCTATTCTCAGTGGCTAATACAACAAATGTTTATATCTCACTTGCCCTCAGTGTCCAAATGGAGAAGTATAAGATTCAGCTCATTGTTCATTCAAAGCCCTAGGCTCGTGGAGGCTCCAGCTAAGCCCTTGATATTATAAGTACCATCTGGGGAAAAAAATTTTAAGCTAATTGCTTACAATTAAATCCTCCTACCAGAAACTGACACACTTCATATGTTCTCATATTTCATTGGCTACAGCAGGTCAATGGCCATGTCTAACTTAAGTGTGAGAGTAATCTTAAAAGACTTAAAAAAATACTTAACAGTTCTTATAATACTTGTTTGGAGGTCATGAAATCCTCTAGCTTTTTCTTGTCTGGGAAGCTCTTTATCTATCTCTTGATTCTAAATGACACCTTTGCTGGGTAGAATAATCTTGGCTTTAGGTCCTTGCTTTTCATCACCAAATATTTTGAGTCAATCCCTTCTTGCCTTCAAAGTTCCTGTTTAAGCTGACAGTCTTATAAGAGGTCCCTTGTAGATAACTAACTGCTTTTTTCTTGCTGCTTTTAAGATTTTCTCTTTGTCTTTAACCTTTGGCATTTAGTTATGATGTTTCTTAGTATATGACTCTTTAGGTTCATCTTGTTTGAAACTCTCTGCATTTCCTAGACTTGTATGTTTATTTCCTTCACCAGGTTAGGGGTATTTTTTGTGATTTTTTTCACATAGGTTTCAATTTCTTGCTCTCTCTCTCTCTTCTCATTCTGGCAACCCCATTATGCCAATGTTGGTAGTCTTGAAGTTGTTCCAGAGGTTCCTTATACTACATTCATTTTTTTAAGATTCTTTTTGCTGTTATGATTGTTTTCTGTTTTCTCATCTTTAAAATCTCTGATTTAATATTCTGCTTCATTTATTCCACAGTTGATTCTTTTCAATGTATTCTTTGTTTCAGTTATTGTGTCTTCATTTCTGATTGGTTCTTTTTTATCTTTTCTAATTCCACTTTTATGTTTTGTTGATGTTCTCACTAAGTTAATCTCTCCTTCTCTAAATTCACAGAGCATCCTTATAACTAAACTAGTGTTTTGAACTCTGTATCTGGTAGATTGCTTATCTCAATTTTATTAAATTTTTTTCCAGAGTTGTTGTTTTTTCTATTTTTTCACTTGGGGCATGTTTTCTTGCTTTTCATTTTAGCAGACTTTCTGTGTTGGTTTCTCAGTATTATGTAGTAGGTATTCTGTAGAGTCCAGTGGCACAATCTTCCTGATCACCCAAGCTGGGTACTCCAGGTGTACCACCTTCCTCCATGTAGGCTATGCACATCCTTCTGTTGTATAATAGTTAAGCCTTGATTGCTGTTGACATGGCAGTGTGAGAGATTTGCCCCAGGCCAATCTGCTACAAGGATTGGCTGTTACCATTGTAGAGGACAAGCTGTTCAGGACCCCACCTCATGGAGTAGGACTTATTTCAGTGGGGAGTCCACCCCTTGAGTGTGTTACTTGTGGAGATGCAACCAAGGTCCCCTGCCACTTGTGTTCTGTCCAAGTCTACCAAATATGAGCTACAATGGGATATTCAGATAGCTGCTATTTGTGCTGGACTTTGAGGTGCCCAGGAGAGGCCAAGCTGGAAAACAAGACTGGTTGTCACTAGTGCTGGGCCTGGGGACACTTATTGAGATGTACTGGGCATGATGAGTCCAGATGCTGCTTGTTTGAGAGATTTTAGGAAAATATGAAGCATAAGCCAAGATATTATAAATCATTCATATGGAAAAGCCATTACAAAACAGCTTCTATAAGCCAGAAACTTTGGTGGGTTTTGGTTTCAGGGAATCACCATGGTGGGGCAAATAGTATTAATTGGGTTGATAGAAACTCAGATATGACCCCCGCCTGCTTACTGTGAGGGAAGGGCCAAGGAAAGGAACAACGGTGTCTTCTAGCACTTCTGTTTAAGGAGAAAGCTGCCCCTCCAGCTCTCACCCAATTGTCTCAGACAATTTAGTTCCTCCCTATATGTCCCTAGTGTCTTTCTAGCTGCTGCTTCAGCGATTGAGTTTAGAGAAACTGAGTCTGAATAAATTCATGTGAGGATGTTTAAGAGGAACTCCTGTGACTACAGCAGCCCTTCATCTCACTCAGCCACAATTCCCTCTGATTTTTATAGCCAGAAGTTATGGGGACTTCTTTTATTCACACTGAAACCCCGGCTGGTGTGGAGCTTGAACCTCTTGCTTTTCAGGGAGGAAACTCCACCTGAGATATCCCTCCCATTTTTATCCTTTTATCCACCACATATAGGTGTGGATTTAGCTCATTCTGTATCTCTACCCCTCCTACTTTTCATGTGGCTTTTTCTTTATAACCTTATTAGTAGGACTTGTGGTCAGCTATATTTCAGGTTGTTCTGAATGATGGGTGTAGTTTAGTTGTAATTCAAGTACTTCATTTACCTATGCCACCAACTTGACTGTAACTCAAGTGACTATTTAATAAATACAACTGCATATGGTCAGTGCCTATAATAAATCCCTTATTTTATATTACTCACTGTGGTTCTGTTTCTCTATTATTCTTTCTCAGAGACAAGAGTATGCTTGGTGTGTTAATAATTAGGAGTGTGGAAAAACTGGAAGAGATAATAGAGTGAGTAGATGAAAACGGGGAAGAGAAAATGGTGGGCGCTAGTTTGTGTAGAAATTTTAACTATTTCTTTGAGTGAGATGAAAATCCATTGGATGATTTTGGCAGAGAAGTAATATTATTTGACTTCAATTTTTAAGGTTCACTTTAGTTGTGGGGATGGGAACTGACTATGGAGGCAAAGTAAAGATAGGTAAAATAATTCAAATTATTAAACTATTCTAATTATCAGTTTTTGAAAGATGGTAACAGAAAGGTAAGAAATATTACTGAAGGTAGATTTGAGATTATTTGTTTATGGATAAGATGAAAGGTATAAAAGAAAATCAGGAATGATTATAAAGTCTTCAACTTGACCAATTAGAACTAAGTTATTGACTTTTACTAAGTTGATGAACTTTGAAAGGATGAGAATAACAGGTTTCAGTTTAGATTATATATAATTGGAGATACTAGAAATGTTCCCTAGACAGCAATAAAGAAATATTGCCAAGGCCATCAGACACACAAGTCTTAATTTCATACAAAAGTTTCTGGCTGCATGTAACTTTAGGAGTCATTAATTTAGGATTGGTATAAAAAGTCATAATATTGGGCGGTCTTACCAAAGGGATGAGTGTTTAAAGTGATATAAGAACTGAACCTTGAAACACTCCAAAATTAATATATTAGAGGAATAAGAAGGCAGATAATGAAATTGAGAAGGAACTAATAAAGGGGAATATGATGTCCACAAGCCAAAGGAAGAAATTATCTTAAAAAACATAGTGTCCAACCCTATAAAATGCCACTAAAAGTAGTAATAGAAGAAATAGAGTCAAGATAGCTATATGATATGTTGCTTTTTTAAGATGGGAAAATAACAGCATGTTTGCTTGCCAATGGAAATGGTCCAAAGAGAGGTCAAAATTGAATGTAGGAAATATTTCTAGAGCAATGACCTTAGATAGGCAAATGGGAAATAGAAAGATTAATCTTTGGCCGAGAATGGTTTGGCTCAGTGGATAGAGCATCAGCCTGTGAACTGAAAGGTCCCAGGTTTGATTCTGGTCAAGGGCATGTACCTTGGTTGCGGGCACATCCCCAGTAGGGGGTGTGCAAGAGGCAGCTGATCGATGATTCTCTCTCATCGATGTTTCTAACTCTCTATCCCTCTCTCTTTCTCTCTGTAAAAAATCAATAAAATATAGTTTTTTTAAAAGAAAGATTAATCTTTGATAATAAACAATTCAGTTTATCCATAATAAATGGTATATGAGTTTATGAGCACAAATGTTCAATGGATAAATGTGTTCAAGCCAACTTTTAATGTGATTTTAATGAGACAGAGGTGAGATGTCTTTTCTCTACTCAAAAAATATTCAATAGCTGACAATTTTATGTAGAATCATGCGTAATTACTTACATATTCAGTGATTTAAAAATATTTATTGAGTTCATAGTTTGCACCAAAGATTTTTCAGGGCACTGGAGATAGACTAAAAACAAGGTCACTACTTATGTAAAAGTGAGAGCAAACATAAAAACATAACAAGGCATAGAAAGAACAACTCAGCTTTAATAGGAAAAACGGGAGTCAAGTTCAGAGAGTACATGCACACGGCCCATTATTCTTTCATTTTTCAGAGTTGTGGGATGCAAAATGATTGAGGTCTTCAAGTTATTTATTTGAACCTGACATTCCAGATTCACTCTCACTGAGTCTTTCCTCATACATGCAACATTCGTGACAAAAAACCCAACCACTCCCAGTGTAAAACTATACCAATACTACAATTTAGGATCAGGCCTAAACTAAGGTGACCAGACGTCCCACTTTTGGTGGGACAGTCTTGATTTTTAATAATTTGTCTCGCATCCCATCCCATTAAATTGTTAAAAATCGGGACTGTCCCGCCAAAAGTGGGATGTCTTGTCACCTTAGCCAAAAGGGCAGTAGGACATCCCTCTCACAATCCAGGACTGCTGACTCCCAATTGTGTCCTGCCTACCTTCCTGATTGCCCTAACTACTTCTGCCTGCCAGCCTGATCACCCCCTAACCATTCCTATGCCAGCCTGATTGATACCTAACTACTCCCCTGCCAGCCTGATTGCCCCTAACTGCCATCCCCTTCAGGCCTGGGGCCCCACCAACTTCCTTGCAGGCCCAGTCACCTTCAACCTCCCTCTTTTGCTGGCCTGGTCACCACCAACTGCCCTCCCTTGCAGGCCTGGTCCCTTCCAACTGCCTTCTCCTGCTGGCCATCTTGTGGTGGCCATCTTGTGTTCACATGGGGAAAGCCATATTGTATGTTAGAGTGATGGTCCATTTGCATATTACTCTTTTATCAAATAGGATAGATGCCTGGCACATGGTTGGTGGCCTGTTGGTTTTCCCTGAAGGGTGTCCTGGATCAGGGTGGGAGTTCCCTTGGGGCATTGAGTGGCCTGAGTAAGGGGCCCATGGTAATTTACAGGCCAGACACTCTCCCCAGCAACCCAAGTGGAAGCCCTGGTATCTTTTATAATTGAAAGTTTGTAGCCTTGAGTGGAGGCCTGGGCTTGCCAGGGTGTACAGGAACATAGGCTTCCTCCATTGCCAGGGAAATCCAAGCCTCCTGCTGACTTTATGGCTGCAGCCATCTTGATTGGGTTAATTTGCATAATCACTCCCAATTGGCTGGCGGGCGTGGCTTGTGGTGTAGTGGAGGTATGGTCAATTTGCATATTATTTTTTTATTAGATAGGATTTTAAAAATTCAAAATTCCCAATATCTAAAAATGGGGAAAAAGAAATAAAGAGATAGCTATGAGCTAGGTATTATAGAGAAGATTATATTTTATATAATCTTCTTTGTTACAAAGTGCTCAAAGGAATTTCACCTGTACTTTTATTAGTGCGCTGTTTGGAAGATGATATTAAATGTTTAGAAGGAAGGTCAAAATACAAACACAAGTCATTCCTGATTATTGCCCTTTAATAAGTAAACATGCTGCAAGCATTATAACCTAAATCATAATCTAATTGAATTGATTATAAAGAATCACTGATAAATGAGCTGTTTTAATAAACAGTTACTTTTTGCTATCAAAGTTTCTTCTATTAAAGTAAAATAATTAGGATGCTGACTCAAAAGAAGATGGAAAAACAACATCTTTTCTTTTAGAAGAAAACACCAGAGTGTTTGGAAGAAAATAAACCAATGTTTTTAATGAACACAAATTACCTTTCAATTTTTTTTTCACTGTTCAAAGAAAGACCGTTATTTAATTAAAAGGCTTAGCTATAAACATCAGTCACAGTTGCATTTCTTATATGCAAAAAGAAGCTATAGTTCTACTCTGGCATTTAGCACTTGTGGAGAGGGTCATTTTATTATAAGCAGCCAAGTGAAAACTAGTATTTGATTACCATTTGTTAATGAGATATATTGGAATGTGAGCCAGAGATTGGAAAGGGAAACCCATAAAACCATTCCAAGTCCTCCGATCTTTGAGGTCACCAGACTCTGAGCCTGGAAACTGTGCTGCAAATGTGCACAGGCATATTTCCCTGTCACATCCAGGTGCCACGGT